CACTGGGCCAATTTTAACCAAAGTTGGTACAAAGCATTCGTGGGTAAAGGGGAATTTAAATTGTTAAAATGAAGGGCAAAGCCCCCATTCAAGAGGAGATACCGGTAACCAAGAAAAGACAAATAGGGTGGGTTCTTTAAAAAAAATTCTTATTAAGAACCCCTGGGTCAGAAACGTATAAAGAATCTTCCTGAGGTAGCATAGATTCTAAATTGTTCAAAGCATGGCTACCGGGGGTAGGGTGGGGTCACATTAGGGAGGCAAAGTTTTATATTTTTTTTAAAATATATAGGAAGAATCTTTAAAAATCCTCTCAAGAACCACTGGATCAGAAAAACTGAAACTCATGTGGAATCTGCTGAGGTAGTGTAGATTCTAAATTGTTCAAGGCATGGCTCCTAGGGTAGGTGGAGCCACATTAGGGAGACAATATTTTTTCATTGAAATATATAGGAAAATCATTTAAAAATCTTCTGCCGAAGAATCACCTGGCCAGAAAAACTGAAACTTATATGGAATCTTCCTGAGGTAGCATATATTCTCAATTGTTCAAATCATGGTCCCCGGGGTAGTGTGTGGCCCACAATAGGGAATCAAATTTTTACTCGAAATATATAGGAAAAATCTTTAAAAATCTTCTTCTCAGGAACTACTGGGCCAGAAACCCGAAACTCATATGGTATCTTTCTGATTGTTCAAATCATGGCCCTTGGGGGAAGAGTGGAACCACAATAGGGAATCAAAGTTTTACATTGAAATATATAGGGAAATTCTTTAAAATCTCATTCTGAAGAACCACTGGAACAGAACAGCTGAAACGTTTGTGGAATCTTCCTGATGCAGCATAGATACTAAATTGTTCAAACCATTGCCCCTAGGGTAGGGAGGGGCCACAATTAGGAGTCAAAGTTTTACATTTAAATAAACAGGAAAAATCTTTAAAAATCTTTTTCTCAGGAACCACTGGCCCAGAAAAGACGAAACATTGGTGAAAATATCCTGAGGTAGTGTTTATTGTAAATTTATTCATATTTTAGTCCCTGGGAGTATGGTGGGGCCACAATAGGGAATCAAAGTTCGATATATATTGTATATGAAAAAAAATATTTCAAAGTCATCTCAAGCACAGCAAAGCTATGATTAGTAATATTAATATGGAAGCAACTTTAGGTAGTGTAGATTCAAGTTTGTGGGGACACAATAGCCAATCAAAGTTTAAATAGAATTTTATCAGAAAAAGTCTTTAAAACTTCTCTTCTCAAGAAAAGTAAGCCATGATGAATTATATTTTTAATGTGGAAGCATTCTTGAGTAGTGTACTTTCAAGTTTGTTGAAATCTTGAACCCCCAGGAAAAGGGTGGGACCACAATAGAAGATCATAGTTTTACATATCAGGAATTTATAGGAAAAGATTAAAAAAAAAACTTTCTATGAAAAAAGCAATGCCATGATTAGTCCTATTTATATTGAAGCATCCTCTGGTAGTGTAGATTCAATTTTATTCATATCATGGCCCCTGCAGTGTATAGGATGTGGCCACAAAAGGTGAACCAAAATTTAACATATGAATACATGTACACTCGTATGTAGAGGCCAAATCTGATGAAGAACAACATGTCTAAAGTGACTCAGTTTAGCGTTGTGGCCCATGGGCCTCTTATTAGAGATTTCTTTAGGAAAAAATGGTTTGAGATTTAAAAAGAATTAATGATTTAGGACAAGGAATTAAATTTTGGACATATTTCATAAATATCTTCATGATCAGTTTTGGGGATTGGGCCGATTTTGGCGCGTAACTTAACTTCTTCTTTTCATGACTTCCTATTGGTCATCTACAAAATTTCTTGCTGACAATCATTCTACTTCTAATATAATTTTGTAATAATTTTGCACCTAAAGAAATTGGGATGGTTTCTTAAAAATTACATTGGCGGCTATAAATTATTGTGTATAGAATATGCGTAATTTTTACATATATCGCCTATTACCCAAACTCAGTCACTATAACCGGAAAACACGCCAAGTTACTCTCTGAATTATTTTTTGATTTGTTTCTTGTTTGCTACACTAAGTAATGAACTTAAACATTGTTTTCAGTACTATTTTTAAAAATGCAGTTATTGGACTAATACAAAACCACTATAAATAGAAAGTCTATCACATCCGTGTACATTACATCCAATGAACCCTAACTCCGTCACCAGGGCCCTCCACAAAATGTCAACATATTCAATAGACATTTGTTTCCAGTTAAGTTTTTTGTTCCTTTTTCTTAAACTTGTAAACATAAAAAAATAGTTTTAAAGATATAAAATATTATTAAATTTTATTTTAGGAAAAGTATCAACAACAGAAAAAATAACGTTAATATAACATATTTTATATGTAATAATGTAACGCTAACGTTATCTCCAACGTTTAGTGCAATAGGGCAAATTGAGATAAAAAATAAATTTTATTTTTAGCCGTTTCCAATATGATATGTCATATTAAACCTTTGGCATATGCCTTCATAAATGCGGCTGACATGTAAAAATGAGCACATTTCGAAGGTACTGATGGAATTGTGCATAAAGGAAAAAATGCTTTCTAATTTCACATATTAAAATATGATAGATACAATAGATTAAGTGTTATTTATTTTTATTATACTTTCATGTTAGATACTAAAATCTGATTGGTTTGGACGCATTTAACAATTGGTAATGTTACCCTCAGCATTAGCAACGCACTTGACAACGGGTAACACAACGATAATGTCACATGGGCGTAAATTATGCGCGTACGATTCGCTGTAGAATTCTCAAAACGTCAGTTGTTCGTTTAAAAGAAGCCGAATAAACTTGACTTCAATCAAAGCTTGCGTTCGATGTAGCTTGATTGAAAACAACAAACGACAGACAAAAAATGCTTGTGAGTGCAGAAATAACGAAATTTTAGATGATAAAGGACTCTCTGAGTATCAAATAAACAATAAAGAGGTCAGTAAATCTATTTCAAATCTTTCTTTAAGAAAAACAGAAGCGGGGAGTTTGAAAGCTTTATAAACGTGAACTTAACGACAATCTCCGATTTTTTTTTTTTTTTTTTTTTTTTTTTTTTTTTTTTTTTTTTTTGCTGACATCCTAAATCAATGACATTCAGTATAATAAAATAAATAGTGCATGTTTTTGAGGATAACAGTTGAAACTGACACCCCTCGGAAAACCATTGTCAACTTCCGCTGACGCGTCGGTCCTTGCTGTGTCAATTTCAACTGTTACCCTCAAAAACATGCACTATTTATATATTGACGCATTCTTGAACTTCACAGTCATATATATTTTCTGAGCATTTGATGGAGTTAGGGTAGAGATGGGGTTAGGGAGTTTGGCGATACATAGCATTACTAATGTTGGGGTCATAATATAGCTTGATTTTAGTACTTACAATCTCCAACTTGTGCTCAAAACGTTCATTCATAAAATTATTTTATTCTACCTTGAATTATTGTTGTTTTTGTGTTCTGCTTCAGTTAAATTTTCTCCTATGAATAGGGCGCCAACATCATTTATGCGATCTTGACAATCTTAAGAAGCATCCCCTTGCTTTGCTAATTCAAGTTCAGATAAATAATGAGTCCCTGAAGCTAGGGTGGTGCACAAAATAGAGTAAATGAATTGACTGGAAGAAGGAGGGACAAATATTTTTAAAATCTTCCAATGAAAAAATAAGTAAATAAATTGAGCGTTGTAGTCCACCCCCCCCCCCCCCCCCCATATATTTTAATGCTTCAAAAAATAAAACACATCCTTTTACATGCAGATATACTTAGTACTTAAAAAAAATCCATAAGAGTGTCAAAACCAGGTATATTTCTTATTGTGTTGCAGTGTATTCATTTATCACATCGATTGAGTACTCTCTGTACTTTGATTATAGCTATAAATATCGGGATCGGCATTTCGGTTTGTGTACACATGTTACAGAACAGGTTCTTGGTAATTTCTCTAATTTTGAGATTCTGTTTTAATTCTCTATATAGAATAATGCATATTTTGAATGTTCTTTAATCAGAGGGGTCCCTAAATTAGCGACATCCTTTGAGGTATGAATAATGAAAAAAATGTCTTTGGAATAATATCTTACGTGACAGTTGATTTATTACTATTTAGGCATGAAGTCAAATCAATATAAAATTAAAAGTTTGTAAAATCCTGTGACATCACTTGAGGGTGGAGTTAGCTTAAACATGTTAAAAATTTATTATAGAATTTTAAAAGAGGAGACATAAGGTTTGTATGTATGTACATGATGTATAAATCTTAAGGTAGAAAGATATATGAATGCAATTGGAAAGCTGGAGATAAAAGTATTACATATCAAGATTTCCAAAGAAGTTTGGGGATGTTTGATTGAGTTCATGGATTTAAATGAAGCTTGATCAAGAGAAATGACCCAACATCTTGTGCTATTCAGTGTAAAGCATATTGTTCTGCATTTTATCTTTTGACACAGGGTAATATAAAACATTCTTTCAGAAGAACCCAGGTGGTTTTGCCCCAGTGCCCTGTTTGTCCTGAGTTGTTTTGCCCCAGTGCCCTGTTTGCCCTGAGTTGGATTCTCCCTGTTTGGTTTCATCCAAACTAAATTGCCATGTTTGGAAAGTTGTTTGGTCAATGCACTTTTTAGATCAATGACGAGCTGTTTACAATGGTATCACAAGGATGTTTATACTGTAGGCAGGAAAATTTTTGCCCCCATTTTATTTTCGCCCTACTCCCGGGACCCAAATGTTTTTTGCCCTACTCCCAGGTGGGCAAGAAAAAGGGGTGAATTCAAGAAAAAATTTAATTTCTGAAATGGAACTGTGACTGGACAAATTAAAAATGGGGGAAAACTAATTGCAAGGGTGAAAGGGCAAAAAAAATAACATGTGGCAAAAATAAACCTGTATACAGTAATTTGTAATTGATTCTTGAAATTGATGTAAATTAATTATTTATTTACTGTGTTACAGGTTTTGAACAATAATTTGGTCATGATGTCAGATAATTTGGTCGTGAAGTCAGAGGTGAGGACCTTGCATCCATCTTGTCCTGAAGATCCAGTATCTGATATCAATTCTACTGGTGTGTATAGATTTAATGAAATATGAAGATAATTAACGTAAAGTAATCAATTCAGGAATCAAAGTTAAGTGGAAATACATGCTAATTGTTTCTTTGAATTATTATATTTAAGCAAGTGTAATGTTAGCTCAAAAATTATATCCAAATGTTTGAGATTTTTTTCTTAAAAAAAACCCCAAAACATTACCTTTGAATAACTGCCAGTGAATTTTTGTCATTGAAATTCAGCTGCAGTTCCAGTTAGGAATATGTTTGTATAAAAATTAAGCAACTTTTGTAGAAGTTTTATTAAAAGAACACTAAAGGTGAGATCAATATCAGTTCATTTATAAATAATTGCATTTTCTCAATGAATTTATTGGTCAGCCATCTTGAATACCTTGATTATTAGATAATTCATACCATAAATATTCTTGATTTGTAAATATCAATTGTGTGTTAAAATACATGTAATACTAAGATAATTATAGCAATGATGATACTTTTTTACATTGCTCTTCAAAAGACTGGATTTTCTTCAAATACCAATTTAGCCTGACATTGAAATCTTAATAAATATGGCCCTGGCTTCAGTTGGTATTAAAGATACCAACTGCAGCATAATTAATTTTTACACTGGACTAAAGTTTGAATGATCATTAAGGAATAATATTTGAAAACTGCTGTGCTAGTAAAGTTTTATTTTAGCTAGTAAGGTATCATTAGCAATAGCTAAAATTTGCCCAATGGTTATAGTTAGTTTTAAATCCTGAAATACAGTGCACAGATTTCCAAAGTCATTGATGAATATCAAGGCACATTCAACAGGTTACAGACTTGTAGGTATTGAATTTTTTTGTTATCTTAACTGGAGAAAATGAATGTTACATGTTTCAGTTGACTTAAAAGAAAGTGCTACTTAAGATATAAGTAGCTGCAGAACTGTAGTGTGATGGTTTTATATTTTAGTCTCTGACTATAACGCTACAGATCCCGTAATGTAAAAAAGTGCAATTTATGGCTGAAGAAGATTTTCTGCGCTTTTTGGGGATGTATTTTGCCACTTTCCAGCATTTGTCAATCAACAACCTTTCATCCCCTAGTTCTAAACATATTCTATAACCAACCTGTATATTTTATCCACCTCCTAACTCTTTATAGTCATCTCTACAGACCAATAAACTCACTTGTTGTGAATTTTATGCCATCCAACAACAAATTCACAACAAGCAAGTTCATCTCTGAACAATGACCAACTACATGTCATTGAAAATTGAATGTCTATTTAATTGGTATTGTCAAAATGCAAATATAACATATATATGTTATTATCCCCTCGCGCAACTAGTTGCAGAGGGGATATAGCATCGCTACTGTGCGTATGTGTGTGTGTTATTGTGTTAGTGTGTCCGTTACAGGTTGTTGGCAAGATTTAAAGAGAACCTTTGCACTATCATTTCTTAGCCTTTACTTACTTAAGTAAGCATTGTAAAAGGACGAACCCTATTCATTTTCAAGTTAATCGGTGAAATAGTTCTTAAAATATCGTGTTTTTACTACCTTCAAACCCTGCAATTTTATGTACGAATTGACAATACTCACTTCTGGTAAATGTGACAGGTTAAAATTCGGGTCGTTTCGATAGAGCCCCTTCTGTAAGTTCTACTTTGTATTTGCGTATTTTCATATTATTGTGCGTATCTTGAGAAAGTTTGTATGAATTAAAGAATTAAAAGTGTCATATATGTCAATGAGTAACTGAAATAATTTGATGAACATCGCGGTTTCAATACCAAATTACCACACGTGTGTGTTTACAATAGGGCCCTTGGAATTTAATCTTGAGGGAAACGTAATTCTTGAAAGCTATAAATATAAAGTGTCACAAGTTGCATTGACATCTCAACACCGGTATATTGCCATTTTTTCGCTACAAAAAATATTACTTCCGTACGTATTTTCAGATTTGATGCATATTGCATGCTACTACAGGTGGGATTTACTCAGATTGGTAAATTAATGAAATTTAGAGCATATGTGATATGTTTCTGCTAGGAATAAGGGAAACTGCCCAATTATGTATGCTTGTTATAACCCTCCCCCCGTGATATCCACCTTGACTTTTGTTAAAATTCAATTAGTGTTGCAATACATTTTAATTTCTTTACCTTATTTTAAACTTTATATAGTAATACTGGGTACCCTTGATTACTAGGCCTAGATGATTGTATCTTGTTTAACGTCCCTCTTGAGAATTTTTCTCTCGTATTGAGACATTGCCATTACAGGTGAAGTTCCTGGCGAGAGGGGATGCTCCGCTTAGCGGTGCTCTTGTAAATGCATATTTCCTGAAATTTATGTAATGGCTAAAAATTTATGGAAGATTGAGTGTCTTTTCATGTTTGATTGTAGAAAAGAAACAGACAATTGGGAATTCTTACCCTGTAAATGAGAAAGAAGAAAATTGGCATCAGAAAAATATAAAGGTAAAAATTCTTTTAGCATATTTAGGGCCTTGCCAAAAGGTATATTAATTAATCAATGTGTCAATCTATTTGTGTCCTTGAGTTAAAACTTTAATGTGACACATTACTTAAACATTCAGTCTGTAGGTTCAGTATTCAGCTTAACTGAGCCAAAGGCTTAGGTGAGCTTTTCTGATCACATTTTGTCAGTCATCTGTCTGTCTGTCTATCTGAAAACCTTTTTTGTATTTTTGGCTTCTTCCCCAGAATCACGGGTTCAATCTCAAAACTTACCACAAAGCATCCTTGGGTAAAGGGGATTCAAGTTTGTGCAAATGAAGGGACAAAGAGCCACTCCTTCTTTCAAGGGGAGATAATTAAGAATTAGTGAAAATTTGATTGTTCTTTTAAAAATCTTTATCTCAAGAACCACTAGGCCAAAAAGTTGAAACTTATGTAAACCTTCATTACATAGCTTAAATTCAAGTTTGTTGTTATGACCCCTGGGGGTAGAATGGGGTCACATTGTGGGATCAAAATTTACATTTGAAAAATCTTTAAAAAAAAATCTTCTTCTCAAGGGGAGCAAAGCCATGATTAGTCATATTGATAAGAATCTTCAGATTGTGTAGATTCAAGTTTATTCTTATCATGACACCTGTGGGTAGGTTGGGGTCATAACAGGAATCAAAGTTTTACATAGGAATATATGTAGAAAAAATCTGCTAATGAAGAACAACAGGGCCATATTGACTTAGATGAGCGTTGTGGCCCATGGACATTTTGTTGGAGGAAGACTACTAATATCATTACTTGGTACTCAGGGCCAGAGCAGCAAGGGTTCTTTATCGTTCCAATGCCTGCCGTGACATGAGACCTCAGTTTTCCAAGTTAATCTATAACAATATTAATAGGAAAAGTCTTCTCAATAGCTAGGAAGTCAAATAATGATCTGGATGAATGGTTTATAAAGTGTGTTATTCTGTACTGTTTATTGATGCATTAATGAAATTGTGCAGGTCATGGGTTGTGGTTTAATAAATTATTAATAATTAGAAGCTCAGCTGAGCTTTCTCTGGCATCCTCTCTATCTGTCTTTTTGTCTGTCTGTCCATTTGTAAACTTTTCACTTTATGACCATTCTCACGAACCACTGGGTCAACTAAACCAGAGTAGAAACTCAGCACCCTTGGGTGACGTGAATTCTTGATTGAATAAATGAATGGTCAAGCCCTTATTCCAAGGAGAGATAATTAGGAAAAAGCAAAAATTGGAGGGGTCATTACTCATTAAAAGTTTTTCGTCTTTAGAACCTCTGGGCCTGAAAAGAGAGATAAAAGTAATATGAAAGCTTTCTGAAGTAGTACAGATTCTAAGTTATACAAATCTTGATCCTATGGGGAAGGATGAGGCCACGATAGATCAAAATATGTAGGAAAAAAATCTCCCTCTTAAGAATTACTGGACCATAAAAGATTAAATTTATTGAAAGCTTTCTAAGGTCATGGGGGTATTACATATATAAATTCTAAATTTTACAAATTTTTGCCCTGGGGATAAGGTGGAGCCGCAGTAGCTGATTAGAGTTTTACATTGTAATGTACGTTGTTGTATAACATCCTATTCGATAATTTTTCATTCATATAGATTGTAATATAAATAAAATCTGATTAATTTGTTTTCAAGAAAAAATGGACCAGAAAAGATGAAATGTGTGAAAACTTTCTGATGTAGATGTATTTTTACAAATCATGACTTCTCGGGGAGAGTAAAACCAATATACTTTTTCATTGAAATATATAGGAAAGAATCTTTAAAAATCTTCTCAACAATACTTAACTTTCTATATTTTTATACGCCCGTCTTAAGACGGGACGTATTATGTTATAGCCTTCATGTCCGTCCGTCCGTCCGTCCGTCTGTTAGCTTTTTCGTGTCCGGCTCATAACTTTAATACTATCAGACCTAGAATTATCAAACTTTGTCAGCTGATACGTCTTGGGTAGAAGGTGTGTCGCGCATTAAAAGTAGGTCACTCTGACCTTTAATTAAGATGCTATAGCCAAATATGGAAAAATCCTGTCCGGCTCATAACTAGAAAACTATTAGACTTAGAATCATCAAACTTGGCCAATTTATGCATCTTAGGTAGAAGGTGTGTCGCGACCTATTTCAAGGTCACTGTGACCTTTAATTTAGTGAAACTTTTTTAAAAAACTGTGTCCCTATACTATTAATTTACACAATCCCCAAAAATGTAAGAATGTTGCAGTATCCTTATTAAAAAAAAATGTTAAACAGGGTTCGACACTAACGTTAGTCTCAGACTAATACATTTTTATTCGGACTAATAAAATCTGTGGCTAATTAGTCCGAACGGACCAATAAAAATTCCTGGAAAACAATATGAATAATTTACCAACGTCCGATTCTCCAGAACTTTTACTGGAAAACCCCGCATTTATTTTTAGCTTTCTAGCTTCTTGGCGGTAGTTAGACAATTTCGAGTCAGCGCTTAATTTTTCGACTGATTGATATGAAGTAAAACGTTTTAGCGATCATAATTTATATGACACAGAAAAGAAAGATGTCAGACATTTTTGATGTTTGTTTGTTGTTTAACGCCCCTCTCGAGAATTTTTCACTCATATGGAGATGCCACCACTTGCCGGTGGAGAGCTGCATATTTTGTCCTATACTCGGCACTTATGGCCATTGAGCAGTGAGGGATCTTTTTCATGCCAGCACCTACTGCGATAGGGGACCCGGTTTATACGGTCTCATACGAAGGACCGGTTTTTTTTTATGTAATGCAAGAGAAAAAGAACGACATCGGGAATGCGATTGTACTCGTTGATCACGAGATTTCAACGAATCCGTGCTGGGGAATAAACCCTTTCACGTAAATGCTTTGTTTATTTAATAAAAGTATTTAAAAAACGTATATTGAAATGTTTATTTTTAAATTAATGTTACAAAACATTGATGTTTCCTTTTATTGACGGACTCATAAAATCGCGTGCGGACTAGTAAAAGTAAGGAAGCACTAGTCCGGCCGGACTAAAGCCTAAAAAAGTTAGTGTTGAACCCTGTTAAATCAAGAAAATACATGTACTTATATTTTTTCATTTTATACTTTACAGCAATCTATAACAAATGTAATGTTATAAGAGAAATTCCACCTCTCCCATGGGTGTAATCATCAAGCACTGGTCAAGGAGAATTTTGATAACAGAAAATTACATGTCAAATTAGAGAGAAATTAATGAGTTTAGTTTGAGGAACTAACTGGTAGAGCATCTCTGATCAAGCAGGTGTTATCTATATCTCCTGGGAATTGGGAAAAGGAATCAGCATTGATTAAAGGAATAAATGAATCTATTTGGCTAGCCTTTAACTTTTACAATGAATTTGGTGAAAAGTAATTAAAATTAACTTGATATTGTATAATAAACTAATTTGATATTGTATAATATAATGAAAACTAATTATACCAAGGGGGGGGGGGGGGTGTATTGGAATCAGCATATCAGTTTGTCAATATGAACTGCAGCTTAAAACCAGTCTGACATTAAATCTAAAAAAAAAAATCAAGTATTTTTTTTTTAAATGTTTTTAAAATGGTAGATGGATCATACAAATCTAAGAGTCATGCAGTAACCTTATTAAAAATATTGCATCAAGATTACACAAGTTTTTGTTTCTTTTTTTTATAAATCTTTGTAACAAATTTAAAAAAAAATCTCTGTTTTCAACAGAATGACATAAATATGCATTTTTATTACAATATAGACTATTAAAGCAGATAGTGCAGATCCATTCATCCCTTGGGAGTACTGAATAGACATGCATCCAGTTAAAGATTACAATTAATGAGTTCAATGTATAGGAAGGCTAGCTGTCTCAATCATTTCTGTTAGCTAGAGCATCTCTGATCAAGCAGCTCTTATCTGTATCCTTTGGGAATTAGACAGAAAAACTGCTTGTCAGTTTATAGCGTATGTTATTTGATGGCCAGCCTTTTATTTTCAAAATTAATTTGGTATAGATTAAATTGTTATGACTATTTTGATATTGTTTAATACCGGTATTATATTTTTATTTAATTTTTTGAAAATATCAAATAAATATGAAAGATGGGGGGGGGGGGGGAGGGGGAGGGAGCTGCAGATGGGCATTTGTCAAGGTCTAACACAACCAGTTGAGAAATTTATTATAATTAGTGCCTGCACTACAGGATATGTATAAACATGAAATATTATAAGGAATGGAAAAATCATGGAAATATTTGACATGATTTTCTTGCACCCTAAACTGTTTAATTTATGATAATTGAACAATATTTGATGAACGTATCATGCTGTGGCGGGGCACTTTATTTAAATATCAGATCCCCCAGAAGTAGGGTCGGGCCACAATAGGGGATTATAGTACATGGGAAAATATTTTTAAAAAAATTTCAAGATCCTTTGGACCAGAATAGATAAAACTTATGTGAAAGCTATCTGGGGTAGTATAAAATCTGAAATATGCAAACCATGGCCCCTGGTGTTGGGTTGGGTAATAAAGGGGATCTAAATTTTACATTGAACTATACAGGAATAATCTTTTTTCTTGAGAACAAATTGACTAGACAAGATGAAACTTGTGCCAAATTTATATATTCTCCTAATTGTTCAAATAATGCCCCCCCCCCCCCCCATTTGTAGGATGGGACCAGAATAGGGGATCTAAATTTTTTCATTGAAATGCAGTATGTAGGGAGAAATTATTTGATTTTTTTTAACTTTTTAAGAACAACTGAACGAGAAAAGATGTAACCCATATAGAAAAAAATTTTTAAATGTTCTGAAAAACCTCAATTGAAACAATCCCAAATTTTATGGATTTTTTTTTAATTATGCACCTAGGGTAAGAGTTAGCTAAAAAAAGGACCGAATTTTAATTAAAACATTAGTATGATATCATTTTTTTCTTTTTATACTTTTATTCTTGAAAGGCCCAAGACAGTTCAATAATTT